GTTGTTGTTGTGATCATAAACTGTATGGATGTGATTACACGCGATACACGGAGCTTTTCCCTCACTATTGTAATACGCTGCTTTTGCAAGGTTCCGTGAAAACGTTTCAGCTTTTATTTTCCTTTTTCGCCCTGAAGAAGATATCACAGGTTCATCAAGTTCGTCGAAATGATCCATCCTCGATCACTTTTAGTCAGCTTTGACGAAACTCCTCTCAGCTAGCACGTCTTTTCAAAGTGAAAGTAGCCTTGTCACCTGACCTGAATACAGCGCGCTGATTCGCTAAAATGGACTTATCGGCTTCTGTTCAAAAACAACAAGGGTGCTTGTCGGCTTCTGCAGTAAAACGTGAACTCACGATGCCTTGAAAGTGGACAAAACCGGCTTTTTTTTTTTGACAAAACGTGTTTTGGGTTCAGATCACGCTATATGTGGAGAATAATGCCAACAATGCAATTTTTTTTAAAGTAGGGTTTATCGGTTTTTGCAAATGAACTCTTCATATTCTCTTCATAATAAATTAGATTTACTTCCTTAGTAATAGGATAGGCCTACTATTAATACTAGTTATATTGTTTTTAATTTGTTCCCTGGTATCTGCTTCTTATACTGTGTTTTTTCTTATACTGCTCTTTGTGTGATAACTGGCAACCCTTCACATGGAGCTTTAATCAAGAGAGTGAAGAGTTCAATAGTGACTAGAAGGAGAGCAGCAGTATGCAAACTGAACATCAGCTACTGTTAGTGCTGACTAAGTAGTTTAAATTATACACACCCTATAACCGCATCATTATTTGACTCCAGCCCGGTGAAGACTTTCATATCAAAGACCATAGAATATACTAAGACTGCACGATATATTAAAGCTATTTAAAAATAATCATAATATAACATAGCGTAGCATAGTGCTATCTTTTATAAACCTATGCTGCTAACACTGGACAATACATCAGTATGTTTCTAAGTATGTGAATTATTGTACATTGCGTTTTCAAATTAGAATTTTAAACCCTCTCTGAGTTTCCATGCTCTGATGTCCACATGCTCTTGTTCAAGAAATTACAGTGGCTATAGCATTTCTATCATAAAGAAGTGGCCAAACATTAAAGATTATGTGGACATTTGAATTAAATGTTTGGCCAAAATTAAACAAGGATTTGATCACACTGTAAAGTAAAAAAACAACCAAAAAAACAACAACAATACAATTCTGCTTAGGCCACCCATTTGGGCAGCAGAAGGCCCTGAGCCTATGTGCTCCTCTAAACTGTCCAGGTGCTGCACTGCTCTGGGGGTTGACTGCTGCACCTTTGTTCCGATAATATCCCGTTATTAACAACCCTTTAGAAAACTGAATCCTTTGACAAATGGCTGCGTCTCAGTCTCGCACGCTCTGCACGTGAGTTAACCTGTTACGGTGAGTTAAAATCAGTTATGGTTGACATTTTATACCGCAATATATATATATATATATATATATTTACATCGTCATACCACCCAGCCCTACTTTAAGCCATCATTTGAGCACTGATATTTACCCAGGATGAATCACCAAATTACTTCTTCATAGGACAGAACAATTCCTAACATTTGTTTGATTCTGTTAACTGCAGAAGCTAAACTCACTCAATTAACCACCCCTGAATGTCATCCATTCAAGTGTTTGGCAAAAAAAAACAGCTTGTTTGTGAATGTCAAACTGACACTCTCACATGACATCAATAGCAATGCTGCCTCCAAACTCCTAACTCTTAGTGCAAGCCCTTACTTTCCATATCAAAGCAACCAAAAACCTGCAAGGTGGAATAGAGGGCTTCTGCACACTCATTTGAAGGCAAAGCTGCATATGTTCGCATTTTTTCCTCCACTCATCATGAGGTGAGGAGACACTAGGCAGGTCACTAGCAGCCATCCAGGCCAAACATGCCAATCAAGCGGTGAATATGGCGCTTTTAAAGTTCCCAGATACTGCTGACTGAGTATTATCCTCTGCTGGCAGCGAGAGAAGAGTTGGTCCACTGAGCAGAAAGGTAAATGAATACACAATGTGACAGGGGGTGTCGTGGTGGTTTTAAATGAAAACAGCTTAGGGTGGATGCGTTGGTAAAAGAGGTTCATGCTTTTTTTGTTGTTGTCTGTTTAGTTTTTTTATTCAACCTGTGCTCATTGGAAAAACATTCCTGTGGTGAGGTTTCTGTAAGATAGATATTTTGTTGCTTCTTGCATGTTACTCGACACTTACAAAGAGAAATGTCCAGCGCATTCAGTTTTATCTGAAACATATGAACATAAATCTGGCAGTGTTTTTTGTTGATGTTGTATGCATCACTGTAGTTCAAAAATGAAAGGTCTGGTGAGTGCTGCTAAAAGGCTAATGCTGTACAACATTTGAAAATAATGTACCACCTTCACTAAACCTAACCTTAACTTAACTGATAGCGTTAATATAAGCATGAGATAAACATGCCATTTATCTTGCTTCTACATGTCTTTGAGCTCTTTTATCGTGACTTGTGTTTCATTAGATTTTCATGAGCACTCTGCATCGCAAGAGCAGTGTTTACCAGGTGAGCTTCTGAGCAAGTTTACTATGTCAGAAAAGCTAAACATATGGAGGTTATGTGATGCAGACTTCAAAATGTATTAGTTTATAAATCTCACACTATGATAAAAGTGTTTTGAGGTCAAAACATAGTATTGTGCAAGGAACTAAGCAAAAATCTTTAAGTCTTTATTAATCAATATTCTGCCCTTGTAATCATAATTTGTGTAAAAAGGAATAAAAGCTTTTGGTGTTTTACAGCCACTAATGCTTATTTCAACCAAAAAAATACAGCTAATTGTGTATATATAGTAATTTATTTATTTATTTTTGATACATAATTGTGCAAAAATGTTGGTAGAGGCACTTTTTTTCCAATGAGTCCATGTTGTTTTCTTTATAATTTACTGAATATAGCACAACCTCAGATGGTTGTGATATACTGATCCAACCAGAAGGTGACAGTGTTGTTGTTTTACTCTCACTGACCTCCTTTCACACTGGACAGATGCTTAAGATCCCCGGGACCCTCGATGGAGGGGACACAGGTACGCATTCAAGCTCTGATGATGATAGACTCCTGTCCCGAAATGTCAAATGAATATGTCTCTTAGAGACCACAGACCCATAATCAAATCACTTTATCAGCGTTGGCACTTAGATGAGGGTAACAGGTTTCTCTTGGCTCTTCCTCTTAAACGTGTTGCCGTTCCTAGATCACATTGTCAGGCCCACGGGGGTCTTTCTACACCATCATGTCCTTTAGTGACATCGGTCTCCAGAGTGCCCCCCCGGCGTTCTTTTAGCCAGACAGGGAGCAGAGCTAAGAGAGGGAATTAAGAGGCTCTAATACAAAGCTGGCAGGCAGAAAAACAGTGGGGCTCAATTGTCAGCTTGACAAGACAGTTTCAGCCAGTTCTAATGAGGAGAGAGTAGTCTCAAAGGAAGCCGAGAAAGACGAGCTTAGCAAGAGCTAGGAACATTGGGTTTGGTGGGTAAGGGACTGCAGGATTTCCTGAGAGAGATCCATACCACAATGAATGGCTGGTATTTTTATTCAGTCCTATCTGTTGCGCATCTGAATCTTTCAGGGAGCTTCTTACTGCTTGCGTTGCTTGTTTAACCACTGTAGAAGATTCTAGCTCAGGTGCGTTTTGTGATTATTGGCCCCAGGTGTGTGTAGTGTTTCCACTCTCTCTCTACTTCAGCCGCTCTCTTATTTGTTCAGCCGGTTTCACAGAGGATGGTGTGAGTGTGTTGGTTCTTCTAAAGAGCTAATGAGGCCCATACCGGCAGGTCCCTGCTGTCCTTCTGCTTTCCTCTTTGTGTTATGTTCACCGTCCCCCAGGTGAACATGAAATATTCCCCTTCAGTCTCTTACACTGTTTTTTCCTCCCTGCAGAGTTAAAACCTGCTCTCTGATGTGTGTTTGTCTGTGTGCGTTGCTCCGTCCCTCTGTGTCAGGTGCTTGTAGATGCCCCATGCTCTAATGACCGGAGTTGGCTTTATACCCCTGATACCAACCAAGGGGAAATGTGGCTGAAGGAGAGAACTCAACTACCACTCTTACAGAAGGAGCTGCTCTGGTAAATATCTATCACGGGAACTCACACACAGACACACACACACAGACACACACACACACACACACACACACACACACACACACACACACACATCCTCATGGGGACCTCAAAAATGTCCCCACAAGGTCAAAATTTACTAGTATTACTATCCTTGTGGGGACATTTGGTCCCCATAACATGATAAATACCAAGTACACACACACACACACACACACAAACTCATGTGGGCAATTAGACGGCGCAAAACAACTTTTTTTTCCCTTTTTTTCATTCTTTATTTTCAGATCTATGATCTTGAACTTCCTGACAGTATGCAGCAATTTAATTCAATGAAGGCACAATTTTGACATGAACGCTTTAAAAAGCCCCTTTTATTATTATTATTTTAAAAATATTGTTATGAACCGTTTAATGACCAAAAACTATATTTAGCTTTATCCAAAATTTTATTTATGCACAACCCTGTTGTTGCACGGTTTCTGCCTTTTACTAAACATTTACTATATATATATATATATATATATATATATATAATTATATCAGAAAAATATATTATATATAAAATTGTCTTTTATATTTTCGATGACTAGATGCTACTGACTGGAGTCTGCAGTATGATTTCAGAAAGCATGTAGCAACACTGTTGACTGTGCTTTAGAATAGAGGAATTGCCTTAAATTTCATTTTAAGACACTTCATTTAGTCAGTGAGAGAACCTGAGCAAAGGTATAATGTGTTCTGTAGTTTTAACATGGATGGTGGTTGCAATTTTAGGTAAGCCAACAAGTTATGTGGTCATGAAATACCTCAAGCCTGACCGAGGAGCTTATATTTAAAACTTTATAAACCGTAATCTCTAGCTTCCGCTAACTGGTGCGTGCGTTCTGATGACGTAGGACGTAGGCATAGCGTAAGCTCCGGTGAGAATATGCTAATCTTGTGAGAACCAAGTTCTGTTTACAGGTGCAAAGGAAGCAAAGTTTGGTTAGCAAAGGAAAACCAGTCTCCTCTTGGCTTATATCGAAATCCTCCGACATTTTTCTTTACAAATCCTCGTTTTGTACTTCTAATTCATGACCGGTGTATTGTTTTGTTCTCTCCTCTGCGCTTCCACGTTCGTCACTTCTCACCTGAGCTTTCGCTACGCCTACATTCTACATCATCTGCCGGAACGCCACTCTCTCGTGAACGTGTGTACGACAGTTAACGGAAACAAGAGATTATGGCTTATAAAGTTTTAGATATGGATATTTATCCTCTAAACCAGGGGTGCCCAAACTCAGTCCTGGAGGGCCATTGTCCTGCAGAGTTTAGCTCCAACCCTAATTAAACACACCTGAACCAGCTAATCAAGCTCTTACTAGGCATACTAGAAACCTCCAGGCAGGTAGGTTGAGACAAGTTGGAGCTAAACTCTGCAGGACACCGGCCCTCCTGGACCGAGTTTGGACACCCCTGCTCTAAACCTTCAAATCTATCCTGCGATCAATATCTAAATATATAATAAACATTATGTGATGAAAATAAACACAAGCACACGCTCTTTATGCTGTTTGCATGGCGGCCACCATGGGGAAGACAGAACTAAGGGGGAACAGACTTCGACAGAACACCGGGACGGAGGGTGTCTTCGCCCTTCCATTTTCTGCATTGGGCTCCGCTTGCCCTTTCAAATCAGTGAGCAGCTCACTCACGCAGGAAATGAATTATTACCCCTCAGAGGGAGAGGAAAAGAAGAAAAAGGGAGGGGCGAGAGACTGGCAACGTAAAAGCGTACTCAGTAAAGATCGCAGAGAGTCCATTGCTGGTCTGAGAAATAAAAGACTTTAAAATAGCCGCTGACATTTACACTAGCTCCCCATGTCTGCTGTTTTAATAATGCCACTGTGAGAAGGACAGAAAAACGTGCACACCTGTGATGAGGCGAGAAATTCTCCACTGTTATACGAGGAAATTGAATGAGTGAGAGAACAAGTTCAACCAAATTTAAGCTTTTACTTTTTGCTAATGTGCTAAACTAGACTGCACTCTTTAAAGTACAAATAACAACGGCTTCCTTCACAAGTAGTTCCCCTCTGAGATGGTCTTTCACTCACACAGAACTGAAATGTCCTTTTTTCATGCTTGTTAAACTGCTGCACTGTGGTGGAAAAGTGTTCAAATTTGTGCTTAACCCTCATGTTGTGTTCTGGTAATTTTTGCCAGGACAGGATTTTGTTTTCCCAAAATTGCTTTCTGACTTTTCTCACACAAGGTATAACAAACCTTAACAAACATATTAAAAAAATGATTTTAATAACTGAACTCTGTGTGTAGAGAACCGGATTAAGCACAGTCTGTACATGGACCTTTGTTCCACTTTAGATCATATGTAGCTGAACCATCTTGACTATGTCCTCATGTGGCCGACAGAGCGCTGGCGACCCATACTGATAACTGATTTAATCTGGTTTCGCCCTTTGCTCTGCCCCCCCCTCTCTCTCCCTGTTTGATGTTCAGATTGCTAGCCTGGCCTGCATAGCAAATAGCAAGCCAACTCTGCGGGTTGCTACACAGTACCCAGTGTTAATGGGGGTCTGTTTATGACTGGTCTGGCTCTGCTTATTGAGGAAATATGGTCAGAGCGCCAACAATGTCTGTATGTGTGCCTGTGCTCACCGAGGCATAGTTTATATTTTGGATGTTTTTGTCTTATTTTATTGTAGTTATATTTTGCAAACAATGCCCCATTAGGAGGCCTTGTGAATTTTTTTCCCACTCTGATCTCATTAGTATTTATAAGTATTTAACGTTTACACAGCAGTTAAAAAAAAATTCAATGATGATTAATTAATGATGATTTAATAATGTGTGTGTAACATTTATGTCTTGTTTTTCCATTGTGTTGTTGGTTTGACCTAGTTTTCCTGTGTTCTGATTAGTTAATTCTGTCCACCTGTTGTCTTGTTAGTTACCTCATTAGTTCTTTTGTTTGCTTCATGCTTATAAGTCCTCAGTTCATCCTCAGAGTTTGTCAGTTCTCATTTATGTTGGCGTGTATTTCTGTCACGAATCCTGTTCATGAACTTCCATCTGCTTGCCACCAGAGGTCGCTCTCCCATTATATTGACTCTCACACCACACAGACTGTTACACATCACTCTGGACTACATTTCCCATGCTCCATTGCACAAATCACAAGCTCACCTGAAACCAATCACACACAGCTGCTACTAATAACACACACTATATAAATCAGTCTCACACCACCATTCAATGCCGAGTATTGTATAGTGTTTATCACTCTCATAGCGATAGCTACGGAGCCATTTCTAGTTCTTAGTTCCTAGTCATAGTCTTGCCCTGCCTGCTTTCCCGTGTTCAGATTCTTGCCTGTGTATTTTGTGTTATCCTTTCCTCTTGCCATTCGGACTATGCTTGCACCTTGCCTGGGCTATTGCTCATGTTGTCGGATTACCCCTCTTGTCAAGCCCTCTGGATATTTTTAGCCGCTGATCGACCACGCCCGTTTTGGACTACTCTTCTGTCTTGCCCTCAATATACCTGTTTGCCATTGTCTGACCCATGCCTGTTTTATGACCACGTCTCCGTCTAAATAAAGCCTTGCATATGGATCCGCATGCCTCTCGTCTCGTTCGCCTCGTAACAATTTAATTCCTGTCCCCAGTATTTTTGTTAGTAAACTATTTCCTATAGTTTTTTTTTTTATGGTTTAGGCTTGAGTAAAGTTATTTGCATGTGTGTTCAACGGTGTATAAAAAACTCTTTAGTTTAGGGACCAATTCTCACTATTAAATAGTATTAGCATGCCTGTTACTAGCATATTGGCTGTTTAATAGTACTTATAAATTTTATATTTTTCATGACCATCTTCTACATCCCTTAATCCTGTCCAATACCTAAACTTAACAACTACCTTACTAACAATTAATAAGCAATAATTCTTCATAACAATTCACAGTTAGGTAATAGTGAGATTTGGACTTTATAATAACCAAGTTTGACACACACACACAAAAAAAGTAAATTTTACATATTGTCATTACTAATACATTAATAATGTATGTTTCAGTGTCTATATAAATGCATGAAAATATTCATATTTTACATATGGATGTATACAATTACTAATAAGATCATTTTATTTTATTGACACTGACAGTGAAACCGTAATTACAGACATTCCTAGCTGATCTAAATAAATGTAATCTGTCACCCTTTATCAGATATCAGAACCACCCAGTAAATACAACGGATCAGTTTCCGCGATAACAGACATGACAGAACGCACAAGTGAAACAGTTGTAATGAATCAACTTCATCTCGCCTGTTAATTACTTCATACACATTCTGCACTGTTGCTTATGGGACTAATTATGAGGCAGACAGGCAAAGATTTCAAAGTGTCTCTCCAGAACGTTGTAATGTCAAATGGGAGTGTATTCACGGGTAATGGTGCACAGAGAGACACACAGGAAGTTCTTCTCCGTGGTGTTGGTTTGCTTTGATGGTTATGTTTGAGGAGCACAGCACATGCCATAAAGATGTGTGTCCATTCAAAACAATGGCTGTTTCTGTGCTTTACTGCAATAGCCCACATCAAGCAATGTGTCAATCACCTATATTTATTGAACCAAAACTTTTTTTTTTTTCATAAAATTTATAGGGTGAGAAAAGCAAGAGTACCTGAACGACAAATAATGTGACATGAATGGCTTTTATGGTTTTGAAAATACATTTTCTAAAAAATGTCAAATGGTGTAACCATCAAGTAAAATATAATATTTTACTTGAATATAATATCAAGTAAAATATAATATTAATATAACATATTTTTTCCTTATATCTTTAATACAGAGTGTACAAAATGTAACAATTGTAAAAAAAAAAAAAAAAAAAGATATATATATATATATTTTTCCCCCCCCAGTATTAATAAGGAGGGAACCTGTTTTCACTGAATTATTTTTTGCTAAAAAAGAAGAAGAAGAAAACATTAT